TGGGGGGTGTGGGGGGTGTGGGGGTGCACTCACAGGCAGTGACACCATTATGTCACAGCAGTGCAGCGTTAAAGCAAAGCAGAGGCCACAGGAAATCGACGCTCACAGTGCTGCCTGCCACCGTAACTTGGGCCTGCTTCGAGTGGCGCATGTGTCCTGCATATGACAAACGTTTATTCACGCAAGACGTGTCAGGAGAGGAGAGAAACGGCACATTTGATAGCAGCTGAAACTTTGGAAACAAGCAGAGTGACTGAGGTGACAGAGCAGAGCAGCTCAGGACCCTCGTCAAGCAGCAGCAGGATTACAGGTCAGGATGCTGATTTTGTAGGTCACGCATGTTGACTGCAGAGACAAGTGGGACTGCAGAGACATTTGCTGCTGTTATTCTGGTTAATGCCTCAGTGAAAGACCATTTTAAAACACACAATTCAAACTCGGCCCGATTCTCAAAGCAGACCTTAAATAATGGCACAGACTCTGAACAGACTACTTTGCAGGTACAGAAAAAGTTCATTTACTGGAAAAAAACGATCACATTTCAGACTTTTCATTGCAAGGATGGGGGGGCTGCAATCCATCTTCATCTGCAATCCCACCGATAAGGTCTGAGCGGGGGCCCACAACCCAGAAGTGAGTGAGTGAGTGAGAGAGAGTGAGAGAGAGAGAGAGAGAGAGAGAGAGAGCGGAGCGGCAGCCCACGCATCCTGTTCCCATCACCCTCCGTGGCAAAGTCGTCACCATTTCCATCATCCATGGCGCCGAGGAGAGAAAGCTGAAATGTGGGGTCCAGGAAGCGGTGTTGGGTGGGCGCTATTGTTCCCAAGGTGCTATGATTTCCTCAGCTTCCTCCACGCTGGTTGGGGCTGTGGCTGCAGTACAGTAACTCAAGGTCAAGGGTGGCAGCAAAGAGGCCAGTGAGATGGCGAGCAAGCGGGCGGAACACACACACACACACACACACACACACACACGCACACACACGTACACGCATGCACACA